CACAAGGTGTGTGTTAAGAGACTAGCAAAGAGGCCAGAGTCACTGGCCTCTGGAGCGATGTCCAGGGAGGCAGGAAGGTTCCTGACCGCGCAGAGCCTCAGAGACCAGAGTAAGGACACTGGATTTTATTGAGTCTGCAGGGAAACAGCTGGGAAGGTTTAAAGCACAGGAGTGACAAAATGAGACTTGCACTTTAAATAATTCACTCTGTCAATGACCTCTAACAAAATATTCTAAGGTTTCCTGAATGTCATCATTCTAATAGAAACAGAGGCACATTTAAGCACCCGGGAAACAGCAATACTACAGCATGGCAGACCGCGGCGTTCCTAACGCTTAGCCGGGCCACTGAGCACCGACGCCCAATCATAAAGTTGCTGCATTCAACACAGCAGACATGTACAGCAGGGCTGCGTCCCATTTGCGTTTGTTGGATTTCACGTACCAAGCGCTGTGAAGGAAGCTTAAAAGAAAGACTGGACAGTGGGTCTGGAATGATGAAACAGAAAGAGCGAAGGATTATGGCTGCAGAAGGGAATGCCTTGGGACACCAACAATGTCAGGTTCCAGAGAGGAACAGTACACCAGAAAGAGGCCTCTGGGCAGAGGGGCGGTATCAGCTCTGTGACTGGTTCCTGGCGATGACCCCAAGTGTCATCTAGCGAAGCCCAAGAAACAACCCGAGGTAAGGAATTATACAAAGATGTTAAAACGTGACTGGTCCACAAACCACAAGTCAAAAGAGAGATGAAACTGTTTTCACATGGCCATCTGTGTAGATATGAGTTTGAAAATTTTCAGGCAAAAACAGAAAACTAGAGGAACAAAACCAGGCCTTTCTGCCATGCGCTATCACGGAGACGGGGATGAGTGTCCTTTACCTTGCAACATGGAGATGTCCTCCATGGCCATAAAAACTTGAATAGTAGATTATCAAACACTAAGCTTACTGAGTCTCAACTGTAAAACTAAGGAGAAAGGTAAAGTTAAAAAAAAGAGAAGGGGCAAAAAAGGTGTGTGTGTGGGTGGTGGGGGTAGGGGAATGGGGATGACTGGGAAGAAAAATCATCTAATGAGTCAAAATTGCTCAGATTTAATCACATTTATGCAATTCTGGGTTATCTTTTCAGGAAAGCTTAGTAATTTTTAGCATAGCAATATTTTTTAAGAGTCCATCTTGGCTCTGGCAAGGCAATGGTTATAACTGAAGATATGGAGCAGTGTAGAAGAATTCAGAAAGAAACCAAATCTCTGGAAAAAGTGAGGGCTTTTTTTGGTTCATTGTAAAGTAACATAAATTAGTCTCCAACCCACAATCTGCACCTACCCCCAACTTCCCAGCGTCCTGTGCAGCCCATAGAAAGTGGAAAGTGTGCCAAAACAAACAGTGTGGGCTGAAGCTCTGTGGATGAAGGGTGGGATGAGGTTTGGTGGAATTGGCAGGCAAGCGAATGGAATCACTTTAAAGCAATGCCACAAAATGGAGACTAAATAATCACGAGCACTTTCAAAATCCACAGAAAAATGGAATATGCTTAAGCTAGATCACAGAACTGATTCCTTACTCCAACTCATTTCAAAAAAACAAACACAGAAAGGATAGGGGAAAATGAAACAAAGCAAAACATACCTGCTCTGTTATCTGTCTTTAATTAAAGTATAAAATACCCTCCCTCTTCTCTTCTCCCAACCACCCTGGAACAGAATAGCGAACGGGCAGCAGCTCAGGTGAAAGACTTCAGCCTTGCAGCTACAAAGAGGGGAGATAGCAGACAATGGAACTGGTGATTCATTACAAAAGAATACACTCCAGAGCCGGCCTGCTGCCACATGGGCTCACTGCACTATTTAAAGGAACAGCAACCCCCTTTCCAACCTCCCTTATTCTTAACACCTTCCCTCCTCTCAGTCCTGATGGAAAACAGATTTTGAAGAAAATGCCAGCAAAGCACTGAGCTGTCCAAGAAAGGAAGGGCTTTGTGTTCCACAGAAACTGGCAGTCTTACACTATAGGAGTACAAAAATTTTCTTTCACATCCATACTGTAAGATCTTTTCCTCTCTGCCTGGTATACTTTTCCTTTCAACAACAAACAGTATAACTGAGTCTGAGTCTGGCTAAACATTTTTTTTATTAATTGAAGTCATTTGCAATTTTGTTTTTCTAATTTTACACATATTACAAGAATGACTTCTCTTTTCCTTCCTTTTATTCTACATTGTTTTTATAGATGTGAAGAGATGCAATAATTTCATTCACATACTCAGAAATAACAAAGTATCTCAGTGAAAAACTCCTAAGACATTTACATGAACAATGGATACACCTAAAGTTGTATTTTAAAAAGTCACAGGAGCATGTGTCTAGAATATTAGAATTTTGTGATTAAATTGTCATTTGCTTTTTTTTTAAACAAAACACTGATTACCTATTATAAATGACAGAGCAGTTCGCTAATTACCCCCAGAACTGGTCTTATAAAACTAGAGCCGATAAAATAATAAGGCGCAACTATTGGTATGGGTCTGATATTGCCATCCACTTCGCCCTTCTTCCATCAAAGTGAGCAATTAATTTAAAATAAAGGGATACAGAAATGTCAGGATCCAGTATGCAAAGAACCTAGGTGACAAAATGATAAAAATATATCCAAATACCTTTCTTAGTATACTAGTCAAGGCACTAAACACCATAATTAACCATTTAACTTTGATAACCAAACCCTGAACAGCGCAGATTTTATATTCAGAAAGTTTATCTGACAGATCATTATCAAATATTGGGATTAGGTGTCTAGCTTGAAAAACAAAAACGAAAAACAAACAAATAAAAAAACCCAAAACCTTGTAAGGACAAATAAAGATGTAGCCCATCTGGTTATTTCCTTTGATTTTTTTCTAGATTACTAAGAACCATGTATGTTATATTACACAGAAAGAGTATGTACCAAAACAAATATGCTGGCATACATACTGAAAATCCACAAATCTGATACTCTGTACTTCCCAGTTATAGAAATTCGGGATGGGCAAAAATGAGCAACTTCCTTCTCTCAGCATCCAGCACATCCTGAGACAACCGCAGTGATTTTAATTTATCTCTTAGAATTCTTAGCCACCAAGAAATCCTTCTTTCCAGTTTATTTCTCTCTTCTGCTTCGCTGCTAGGACCACAGTTCTCTTAAATACCAGTTCTTCAGACTGCAATATGAAGTGTGCATGAGCATGTGCATTCTAACCTGTGCTTACACATGCTCACCGAGCTCGTCCAGAAACGAAGGGCACACGTTCCAAGAGGCCACAGAAACCTTCTGATTAGAAAAAGCACTAGTTTAGAGAACTTTCACTGATTTAAAAATATATATAATGAAAAGTCAAGTAGTTGGAAAGCCCTCAGTAACCGCTGAGAAAGAAGAGAGCTGTCGCCCCTGTAACAGTGCCAGTTAATGAAAATTGAATGAGGGCTCCAAGGTTAAGAAGTATCATCTCCCAAGCAACAAAGAGAATCCAGAAATAGGTTTTCTCTTTTATGGAAATTTTTAAAAAGTAAAGCAATATTTTTAAAGAGTTAATTAGGCTAACAACAAAGGAATAAGAAGTGGAAAAGAAAATATTTCAAAGGTTTCTCCCCGAAAGGGGAGAAACAAAAGGAGGGTTTCTTGATAATCCCCAAACTCAGATCTGGTGAAAAATCACTCTGGAAAGACATATTCTTTGGAACTTCCCTTCCTTCTAGGTCACGTTGGCAGAATCTCCCTAATGCTTTCCCTCCTTCCAAACAGCACTGCAGGGCATTATATAACATTTAACGGAACACTGTTCCTGCTCCTAAAATGATGCCTCTATCCAGATAGCTAGCCGACTCTCTCGCCCTCCGGTGGTGACTCGGAGAGGAAAAGAAAAGAGAGAATACAAAAAAAAGGGCAAACTCCTTAAAAGGAAAGCACTGTCCAGTGATGAAATTTCCCTACAGAGCATAAAAGCCTGGAGTGACACCGATCCTAAGTCTGAGCCTAAAGGACAGGAACGCTCACCCATGCAAATGATTTCACTGATCAGTCGCAGTCTCATCATTCCCTCTCAACCTATGTGTAAAGAAAAAAGGGTAAAAGGAACATGCAGAGGGTGCCAACGAGAAAGAGAGCACGGCCAGGGGGAACCGTGGAAGAGTATTCACCTTTCCATTTGTCAGGAATGACTTGCTAAAATGCAGATTAGATATTGCCTGGCATAACCAAAGACAGGCAGAGAGAGAAAGCGAGAGAGAAAGAGATCTTCCATTTCCTACTCCCTCTCCTTCAAATGCCTTTTACTGCCCGTGTGATTGTCATTTATACATTCAGATTTGTTCTTCTCTCACAGAGGGCTCTACCTGCCTCTGCTACACCTGGATATTCCCATGGTTCCTACTGAAAACATTCTTTGCCAGTGACAAAGCCATGAAAATGAAGCCTATTTTTCTAGCCTTCATTTTTAATAAGCCATTTACAGAGAAGGCAGCAGAATGGCAATTCCACAGCCAATCCTGAGAAACCACAGTGAATCAGGAATCAGATTTCCCTAGAACACAAATTCTTCTGCAATTCTTAAAAGGAAGTCAATCCCTTTCCCCTCTTTTTGGCAGTCTGTAAGAATCTCTTCCTACCTCTGCAGTCTCTCTCCCTCCCTCTTCTGAGAACCAAGACAAAGAGGTAGACAAATCCCCACAGGGTCTTTCCTGAGCTACAGCTGCACAGTACAGGAAACAGGAATCTGCTATGGAGCTGAGGGAGGGGGAGAGAAAAAAGGATATGGATACATCACACACACACACACACACACACACATACACGCACACACTCAGCAGACACAGACTAACACTTTTCAGTTGATAACAATAAATCTGGCCTTCTTTGAGAAGACAATCATTATTAAAACTCTGCCTACTATGCCCGACCCCCAGGTCTTTATTTAGATCCCAGAAACCAGAAAAGAGGCACGTGAAGGAAACACAAATCTTACCTGAGTGACCATTTTCTTTTCCTCCATAAACCAAACGGCACGGAGGATGAGCCCTTCAGGGCAGTCCTGCTGGGGCGCACCTCCACAGCTCCCCCCGCCCCCCCAGGCTAGCTATTTCGGGGCGGGCTACTGATCTCCCTTTATCCCGTTCCCCTTCCTTTTTCTTTCTAGCGTTTCTTCCTTTCTTTTCTCTTCCTCTCTGGCAGCCTCTCCCCCTCCTTCTCTCTCCAGCTCCCTCCCATATCTCAGGCAGATGGCTGAAGGAAGCCCCACCCCTGAATGCCTAAGGTAATTAATCAGAGTGGAGCCCCACCTCTTCCTCCTCCCCCCACCCCTCCCGGACGGCTGACATCTCCCAACTCCAGAAAACAGGCCTGCTGGAGAATGGCAGTTTGGTGTGTGCTTTGCGCACGCGTGCGTGTGTGTGTGTGTGTGTGTGTGTGTGCAGGAGGGAAGGAGGGGGAGAGAGAGAGGGAGGGGCAGGCGCCATGTGCAGGCATATTTTAAGGAATGAATATCTGCTATGGGGGCATTAATTACATAGCATTGGAAGCATTCATAGCAGCTCAGCATAGTTAATACAGATTTAAAGTATTCCACCCGTGAATATCTAATCATAAATAAGAAATGAAACAAAAATTATTTTTAAAAAAACATTTTCCACTGATGTACAGTTTACAGATGTAGTGGATTTAATGAAAGATGTGAAAAGCTGCTGAATGACCACTTACAGGAAGGTTTTCAAGGAATGAGAAAGGGCAAGAACCTGACTGTCCTAAATCAGTCTAATGACCGCAAAGGACGAAAAGAGAGTAGGAAGGTGATCTAAGTACTTATTTTTTCTACTGTAAAAAACCTGGGGATTCTGGAAAAGGTGTCTATAAACATGACTGTTTAAGAAACTGAAGGTGTCTACAAAAGTACATCCAGATTTGACTGCTGAAGGCTTCCAGTTTCATTATAAATTCCGGTTAACAGAAGCCACCCTTTGTGTTCCCCGGGGCTTCTGGATTTCAGCCTCTCCTGAAAATCATAAACCCTTTCCTATATACACACTGGGTACCTGTGTCATTATGTAAACAGTAATTGTTACTACAGAGTGTTATAGATAGAAAAGATCTGTGAGGACGTTCGCTGAACATAGGAGTTTAACATTCTCTTATTAAAATGACATAATGAAAAAAGCATAAAGGGGTGATTCAGTCTGGGAGTCTTGGTCTAAGTCCTGATTCTGCCCTTTACAATTGATCTTAAGTCTTTAACTTCCAAATATAAATTCCATAATCTCCCTACTTTGAATTAATAAATTTTCAAATGAAATAATCTGTGTAGATGTTGTTTATGGTGTTTATCATTTATCTCATAAAAACGAAGATTTCCCATTTTTTAGTATTCTAATAAATAAGATCCTATTCTAAAGGATTTTATTTATATTTTCATTTTGGTATTTTTACTGTTATAATCTCTAACAGATTACCCAAAGGCAAAGAGATTAATTCTAAAATTAAGCTTCCTATTTTTAAGATAAACACTAAAGAAATCAAGATTTAAAATCACAAATCAAAAAAAAAAGTAAAATAAAATCACAAATCACACTGAGAATACACCGTGTTTTGCTATCTTTATGAGGATTTGTCTGACAAAATGCATAACCAGCCTTTTTAAAATGTACTGTATAATAATGTGGGTTGGCACATTGCCAATATAACATCATCATGCTCCTACCCAAATTAATAATCATTTTAACAAAAATTCTAAAAGGAATACAGAAACTACCAATCTGGAGAACCTGCAGAGACTGGCATAATCATAGCTATTTACGGAATACCTACAATAAGTCAGGCAGTATTCTGGGCATTTTACAGATATCTGCATACTTTTGGTATAATCCACAATGCATAAAGAAATATGTACCAAAGAATGGGATCTTTAAACATTAGGAGAAAAAAATATCACTTTGAGAAAAGGAACAGATCAGTACTAGGCTTGTTCTTATTTAACATTTTTAGAAATGATCTAGAAGATAGGACATACTGCATTTCTGAATTTGCAACTGAAAAGCCAATTAGGAGATAAAATACAGTCAAATTTTTTAAAAATACAGAGTAAGCAGAAAAGAGGTAGGTGAGTTTCACTGGAAGCAAAGGCAACCCAGTGTACTTTTCAAAAAAATCTAAATCACATTTATGGGATAATTATTTATGTTTTCAGTTCTAATATAAGAAATTAAACCTGAGAATCACTGTTTACCATTTTCTGAATCCATTAGTCCATATAGTGCTAGGGGCAGAAAACCTTGAGCAAGACGGACTCCCCCACTCCCCATCTCTCTCTCTCTCTCTCTCTCTCTCACACACACACACACACACACACACACACTACCGTTATGAAAGCTGTGGTTATCTTGAAGCTTGTGTGTGACTGCAGCCTCCATACATAAAGGCAGACAACAAGGCCCCAAGAAAAAAAAAAAAAATTTTTTTTTTTTAATAAAGAGGCAGATGAGGAATCCCTACATGCAAGAAGCCCAGGACTAGCGCCAGGACACAAGTTGCCTTTGGCCTGGTATTCATGCGTCCTTTGCACATGCAGGACCAACATTTTATACTGCAAATAATAAGCTTACAATAGTCATGACCACAAGAAAGAGTTAGTATGAGCTAATGTCAAAATAAAAATTACAATGATTTTCATAAACTCACCAAATAACAGGACATACTCAAGGATATTTTGAAGTGTATCCCCGACTTTCAAGGCTGGCATTATAGAAGACAATTTGCTCCCTGATGCCCAAGAGAGAGAAGAGCAATTGAACAGCCTGGATCTGACCCAGCAAAACAACTGGAGTCCCCTAGTGGCTGAATGTGTCCTGTAGTGTACCAATGAGCAACTCATTCCAGGGTACTTTCTGGGATGGAATGTCTGGGATCCTTCCAAGATCCTCCTCACTCAACACCACACCAAACCAGATTTCTGTGCAATCTGCCCTTTCCTTCCATCCCTAGCACCACAAACTCAGTTCTGACCATATTATTTCGTATCTAGCCTCCTACTTGTCCCTCTGCCTCCAGTCTACCACTCTTGCTATCTGCGCTGCTCACCACTGCTAGGGACCTCCTTCCAAGTGTAAATCCCACCATGCCATTTCCCTGATCAAAATCCTCAACTGTTCCCCACAGGCTAAAAGGGGGGAAAGTCCTAACTCTTAAGTAGGTGCCTACCACATAACCTAGCCTCACTATCCCAAATTAGAGTCCCTGCTTCCCCTCCTGCCGCCACCACTCTTCTCTGCTCCTAGCACACTAAGCCACGTTCCTCAACGATATCGTGTTTCTGTTCTTTTCTGTTTCATGTTCTTACTCCCTTGAACAGGGCCTTCTATCTGGCTAACTGGTGAATTCTTCCTTCAAAGCTCACTTCAGGGATCCCCTGCCCTAGAGCTTGTCCTGACCCTCCCTGCTCCCACATCTGGGTTAGGTCCCCCTTTTCCCTATGCCTTAGTGCCTAGCCCACGGTTCATAACTGTTGGGAGTATGACTTGATGATGAGCAATCTGACAGTAGGAATTGTGTGTTGCATACCAATTCCCCAGTTCCTAACGCAGTGCTTGAATACACAGTACTGAAGAAATGTTTGCTGAAATCAAGCTATAATGCCTTGATTTCTATCTCTATCCATTTATTTTAGATACATGGGTACCTAAGAATGAAGAGTATCCATGTGGTTATCAAAACGTTAGAAAAGTATTCTTTTCTTCCAAAAAGGTACTTGGAAATATGTTCGAATTTATAAATGCACTTCAGTATCTCAGAAATTTGAGGCTGAAAGGAAGATGTACAAAAAGAGAGTGGGAGAAAGGCCTTATTTTCAACTTGATTAGAATAGTTCAGATTCTAGACAAAATAATACTCACTGATTTTTTAAAAAAAATACAACTTTAGGTGCTCTTGCTCTTCACAATTTTACATTAGATGTGACTCAACTTCCGTAACTTCCACCCACGCACCAGCAATGCTATAAAAGCAGATCCAACAGTCCCTGGCTGGAAGGCAGGTTTTGCTCATACTTTCCCAGGCTGCCTCTGACACCCAAGTGAAAAGCAACATTAAAGGGATAGCATTTCCTGCAATAATAAAAACTTGTTAGTTTAAAAGCTTTTCACAGCACATCCCCACACAATAACCCTAAGTGTAAATAACAATTTACACCTAATAGATATTAAATAGCTTCCCAGAAGCATCTCTAACACAATGCCACTTTAATATCCTTTGCCCCCACATTCCCTTTAGTATAAATGAAGCCAAATTAAGGCTAACTCTATTATTTCCTTGCTTCTTTTCTCTAGTTTAGGCAGGGATCAGTTTTATAGAACCCATTCTAGAAAAAAAAAGAAAAGGTGAGAGCAGCATTTGAAATGACTGCTGTAGACCTTATATGTTCATAAAACCCAAATAACCCTCACATTTATTTCTTGTCCCTAAAAATCAAACCTTTAGAACAAGACCCCAAAAAACATACTCTAAGACACAGGTGAGGCCAGAGAAATTAGAAAACATTACTTCATAAATTATCACCTAGATTTGGGTAACATACTCTTGTATCTTTAAAATATCCCAAAGTCTAGACAACTAGAGTTATATATGCAATTGAAATTATGTGTACACTCTCTGTATTCTCTGAGATTAAGGAAATATTAAATATTGAAAGGGATGGGATATAAACAAATTTATCAATAACCAGATTATCGAGACAGTAATACCTGATGAGCCTATGAAAACTGCAGGGTGTTGTTTCTTCAATACTAAAATATGCTGTCTCTATTACTAAATAAATTACTGAAGACTCTCCTGTCTTCTTCACCTCCAAATCCCTGTGCACAGTATCTGGCACATAGTAGGTACTCAAAAAAAAAAAAATCCTCAGAATGAGAAATCAAAGAACACATATATCCCTCTACATCAAGGTTGCCTTCCCACAAAGAAGTGGACAGTCTAAGGGCTAATTCAGCCCACAGCATTCTGCAGATCCGAGCATACACTAGGCAAATGGATCTTTCAGATAGGCAACTTTCTTTCTCCCAATCTTCCAGATGCCGAATATCCTTAAGCTGTACTTGGCTTACAGACACTTAGCTCCCCCCTCCCCATAATGTAAGGCCTCGCTTCTTCCTCCAACTGCCATTCACCTCAAAACGATAATCAGTGTCAATGATTTCAGTGGGTGACAGACAGTTAAGTAAAACTGCCTCAGGAAAAACTGGGATAAAAGACAAACCCTTAACTTGCA